TTTGTGGCTGAAGATGTTGTGGGCTGGAGTCCTGCCATGAGCTCACTCTGCAGCGCAGCCACTGGCCCTAGGGAAAATTCACATGCAGACATCGTTTTCCTGGCACTCTCACAGGGACTGTGAACTTCCCTTGGTGTCAGAGAAGCACTAGCATGATGTCCTTTAGTGCTACTGGTGTGAAAGCCTACCCCTTTGTGCAGAGTCTGTGCAGGCTCCCTGCTGCCAGCACAGAGAGAGGTCCCAAGGCGCAGTTCTCAGCCTTGTGGGGTGCAGAGGAGCCGCTGTTGCCTGCAGGGACCCACCCCTCTCCACGCCCTATCTAGGCAGCTACAGTCACAGCTTGGACTACGCCCTTAACTTTGACATGAGCCAGGTTTGCTGAGAAGTCTCCTGAGCAGCTCTGCAGGGCAGAGACAAGGTCTGTCTGTGAAGGGCTGGAATGCAGTTCCTATTGGCTGCTCTCACAGGCCTGAAACCCCGAGGGGAAGTCAGCTGACCAGAGCTGAGCAGGGAAATGTTCCCTGCTTCTACTCAGACACTTTAGAGCAACTCGAGGGTTAGTTGGCACATAAACACCACATCAATACCACATAAACAGCCCCACACAACAGCTTTTGCCTTCAGGTGAGCTGTGTCTCTGCTTGCTGCTTCTGCCAGCTCTCAGGAGCCAACTGCCCTGCTCCTTATTGCTTGTTTGTGTTTTTTCCCTGCCTATTCCTTGCAGGTCCCGCTAGGATAGGTCCTTGCTGGTCAGGACTCCTGGGCCCAGGCAGGAAAGGCGGAGGGGCAGGAGAGCACAGATCGAGTGCGTGGTGCTCAGGAGTTCAGGTGTGTGTTGAGCTTTCTCACTTTCTCTGAGCAGGGGTGGGCGTTGCTGGGCTTTAGGAGGCCCAGTGTCAAAGAAGCAATTTGGCTTTCTTCTTGTTGGACTTGCTCAGCACAGACTGGGGAAGGCAGCCCAGGGCAGGTCTGGCTGCTGACCAACATAGAGCACAGCTGCCTGCTGGCACTCACTTCTTAAACCTTGACAAAAAGCTTTCTGAAGTGGACCCGAGTGAAAACAAGGGAGGTTCAGGCTGGGCTTAAGGACATTGACCTGCAAAGGCAATCATGCAGCAGAACAAGCGCCTCAGAGAGCTTGTGCAGATTCCACCCCCAGAAATTCAGAAGCCCCAGCTGCATAGAGCCTTGAGCAGCGTGTCCCAATGCTGACCCCAAGTGCTTGGAGCTGAAGACTGGGCTGGAGGCTTCCTGGGATCTCTGCCAGCCTAAACCATCCTTAGATACGTGGATTGGAAAATCGTCCAAACCTCCTCCCCAAGCTAGAGCTTGCAAGGTTCTTTCCTTGTTTCACTAGTGAAAGCTAGAGTCATTGTGGGAGTAGTCACCTGGACTTACCAAGCATGTCTTGAAAGAAGAACTTTGGCGAGTCCAGTATCCACTGTAATCAGAAAGGAGCATAAGACCTAGCAGGCAGGAAGCTGTTACGCTGAGAGTACCTGAGCTTTCTGGAAGTGTTCTGTGGCTTCTGGAAGCTTGTTTGACTTGCTCAGTGGTGACTCTTTCACCTGCATGGACAAGAAAGAGAGATGCTGGTCTAGGCAGGGAATTGCAGCATTCTCTTGAGGTGCAAGCAGAGGGCTGTGGGAAGGCCCTGAGACTGCCCTGTGTGGGACATGGTATACAGTCCTGGTTTTGCAAGGAGACTGTGCTGCAATTAAAGGCTTGTTTGTCTGCTTGCCATAGATGGAAGGAGCTGGCTGCGTTTGAGAGAAAGCGCCACTCCTCACTAGAGAGGGCGTCTGAAGTGGTGGCACAGAGAGCAGAGGAATGGCAGCCTCAGAGGGATCTGCTGAAGGAAGCGGTTCCTCTGGCTGTGCCAAAGGTACGCTCACCTTGTTCCTAGGATGCACCTGTGGGAGAGGGATTAGTCCTAGCAAGACCCCCCAGAACGCTGCTTCTGGTGGCAAGCTAAGACTGCGACTGGGTTGTTGTTGTTGTTGTTGCTCTTGAAAAATGCAACTTCCAGCTTTGCCGGCGGCAGCGGCCAGCCCACAGGGGCTTGGAGAAGGTGCTCCAGGAGTTCTCTCGCCAAGGGCACACCCTGTCCCAGGTGTGCAGAGAGAAGGCGGTGCTGGCGCAAGAGAACGCTGCCCTGGAAGCCCGACTGGCAGCCACGGAGCGGGACCTACGAGGCCTTTCAGAGCAGCTGGAAGAGGCCAGGTAAAGGCAGGGAGGAGACTCTGGGTGGGACATTATTGAAGGTCTGGAATTACAAAGGTGCTGAGCATGAAGATTTACTGCCTGCTGGCAGGGAAGCAAAGAGACACGAGCAAAAAGAAAAGGCTACTGTGATCTGAATGTTATTTTTCTGTCAGCTCAAGTTCTCAAAGCTCTTTTTGGGTGCCTGCTTGGGACCCCTTGCACATTCCTGTGACAAGTGCAAAGCAAGCCAGCTTGGCACTGAATTGAGTAGCAGGGAAACTGTGCAGATGGTTGCTGAAACCGGAAGTTTCCCTGTGGTATTGCTTTCTCCTTCGGTGCATCTGACGATCAATCTTTCCTTGCCAAGTAGTTTGTCATGGGAGTTTCAGAATTCAAAGCTCTTAGATGTGAATGGTGTGAGTAGGGCGCTGACGCTTCAGGTGAAGCTGGAGGGTCATGCTGAAAACCTTGAGACCCTGCAGAGCTCACTCTTGTGAAGGATGGTGCAGAACCTAGAACTGCTTACAAACAGCAGCAGCAGCAGCAGAAGGGAAAGGTCTTGTGACTTCTCGGCAGTGTCTGGGGATTCTTGCTGAGCACTGATTCTTGCCCACTTACCCACCCACGTCTCTAACCTGTCAAGGTCCCCTTTGGCTGGTTCTTTTTCCTTTTTAAAGAGTGCCAAGATATTTGGGCACTGTTGGCTTAGTTAGCCAACAATGAAGGTAGCAAGTGGTCTTGTTCATCAAATTGCAGGCATTTAAGTGGCGGGATATCTGTCCCTCCCTCCTCCGTGAGAGTTCTTGTGGAGATTAAAACCTAGTTCTGTTTTCCTACTCATCCTTCCAGAAGCTGGAGATTTCGCTATATCATTTGGTGAATTCCCTTATCCCTTTTACTTAGAATTTGCCCGACCAACAAAGTACCTAGAAGTACACTATGAATGGCATGAAACATTGAGGAGTCAGCCAGGAGAGCACTGCTCTGTCCTGCACCTGCCGAGTGACTTGGAAGTGCTGATGAGCTCAGAAGAGAGGCTGGGATTTTGTTCCTTTGCACATACTTGGCGGGCACGCCCGTGTGTGATAGGTCAGGCAACAGCAATTTCAGCTTTGGCTGCTGAGACCAAACTCAGCCGGGCTCGGTCATGAGGAAAGGCTGCCCAGGCACCTGGAGGGGCCTGCTTTGCTATGTAAAGCGGTAAAAGAGTGCTGCTGTATCTGAGTTTCCATGCAAGCCATTTTCCATACTAAGGTGGAGGGATCTCAAGGCACATCTTATGCAGAAACTATCCCTGTGTGCCAGGAACAATTGCTCTTCATCTTCACAACTTGTAGGTCGGAGAAGGAGAGCCTGCAAAGCAGCCTGCTGGAGGCTCAGCAGCGCATATCGGAGCTGGAGATGGCCAGGAGCCGTGTGGAAGCCCAAGTGCGCACGGCCACGCAGGCCAAGGAGGCGATACTGGGTGAGAGCCTCGTGCGCTTTGTTTCTGGTGATGGCCCTGCCCAGTGTAAACACTCTTGGAATACTTAGCATTGGCCTCAATCCCTGCACAGATTCCTGCACTCGAGGAAAGCACACCAAGGCCTTGGTGACTCTGCAGTACAGCTGAGTTGCTTCTTACAACTAGTAAGAGCTGCCAGTGCAGTGCTGTCAGAGACTAACGGGTCAGGCACAGAGCAGAGCCCAGTTTACTCAGTGTCTGCCATCAGCTGTTGGGACAAAAGGTGGATTGATTGACTCCTCTGTGGGTCTGAACATAAAGACAACCATGTTCTACCTTGAGTGGGGTCAACAGCTTGTAACAGAGCTGGGTGTGCCTCTGGCTTCTTGACAGTGGCTGTCAGTGGCCGTTCGTGGGCTTTGCCAAGCTTTTTGTCATACCTGCCCTGCCACTGACAGCTGCTGTGCCTGCAGGGGCTGGAGCCTTCCTCAGCTGTGGGGTTGCAGCTGCCGCCCCGTTGCTGCAGCTTTGCCTGGGCTGGTGAGAGGATCAGCATCTCCTTTGTGCAGGTGTCTGTGTCACGGCAGCGCCTGAGGAGCGGCGCTGTCCTTGTGACCCGTCTGGGCTGTGCCCTTTGGGAAGATGGGGCACGTGGGTGCTGTTCAAGGGGCCAAGTCCAGTGCCCGTGGCTGCTGCAGCCCAGGCTGAAGACCAGCACTTGTAGTTCTTCACTAAATGAGGAAGGGGCAAAGTGGTCTTCAGAACTTAGCCTGCTCCTAAATGAAAAGGGTTCTAATTCTTAGAGTCATTGTTCTTGGATGTAGCATGAGCTGCTGTTCTCTGAAAATGTCAAGGCATTCTTTAGGCAAACTGCTGAGAGGAAGGGAACATCCCCTCCTCTCCTGGAATTCACTTTGCAATATTCTTTCTGCTCTGCAAAAAGCAGATGTTGATAAAAATTCATCCCAGATCCCAGGGTGCATTGAATCTTTGGAAGTATGTAATCTTGTGCTGAATCTCCCAAGAGAGTGTTTCTTCCCAAGAAAATGAAGGCTCCTGATTTTTCAGCCCTCCTTCCCATTTGTAGATGACAGCCGCTTGCCTTGGTGCCTGTTTGTCTTCTGATTTCTGTCTGCTCTGATGGTTTTTCCATGGGCTTAGTTTCCCCTCAAGGCAACCCTGCAAAGGAGTGTGGGAGAATCAGACTCTGTGCAGAGCTGCCTGTCTTGCTGGGGCTGCTGTTGTTGTTGTTCTTGTTGATGTTATCGTTAGCCAAAAGACCACAAATTGCTCAGAGCCCCAGAGAGTGGAGCTGGGTTTCAGATCTCCTGCAAGCTCAATCTCTCTGTTTTGAACTTTGCTTCTTGCATTTTGTTTCTTTCAGGGTGTGTGGTGAGTGTGGAAGATCCAGAAAAGAAGTACACTGGATGGGAACATCTTGGCAGTGGGTGAGTGCAGCCACACTTATTTCTACAGAAGCACGGGCCAGGAATTTTGGTGGTGCAATAGCATGTGGGAAGTCAGGCAAGCTGCAAGCATTCTTCAGAGCCTGGCTCCAGATTGTCCCTGTCTCACTACTGGGGCAGTACAAGGCATCATCAAAGATAACTGGATGCTGACAATGTCTTGGCTGCCTCAAGGAGCAGGAGCTGGAAGCCCTCCTGTCCCTCCAAGATGGGGCACCAGTTTGCCTATTTTCCCAGGAGACATGGTTTTGTATGATTCAAAGTAATATGGCCACACTCATGAAGGAAGGAAAAGCTGAGAGAGCAGGTTTTGTGTGTTGTTTCCCACCAGACAGCTGTCAGATAACAGCTCTCAGTAGCATTTCTTAGTAGTATTTTTCTGGAAACAATATTCAGTGGTCAGGAAAATAAGAAAGGCTGTGTGGCATTGCCTGAGTTTGGCAGGTAGGATGAAAAGAGAGCAGTGAGAAGGCCCAGCAGCACTGTGTGTTTCATTGCCTGGAAAGGCACGTCACAGGCAGAGATACAAGAAGAAAAAGGCAAAGAAAACCCCCCCACATGCATAAGCTAGTGTGTGCATTGGAGATTTCTAGCAGCCCTTTTTCTTCCTGTGGGAGCCAGCTTTTCTCTTGGACACTCTGCATGGCAGAGGGCTGCTGGGCTGCTGTGCCCTTGGCTGAAGAGTAGACAAAGCCCAGTGTTTTAGAGCCACTGCAGGCAGCACAGAGCTCCTGCCTGGGCTGCCTTTTGCTCCTCAGCACTGAACAACTTCTCTGTTCTTGCCACTGTTCTGATTCTAGGGGCTTTGGAGCTGTTTATAAGGCCTTCGACACTGCCACAGGACAAGCGGTGAGTGCCCGTGCAGATCTTGCAGCTCTTGAGTGCTTTCCCTGTGATGTGATCTGTGGCCAGAGCTTTGGGCCGCCTGTCTTTGCTGCAGAGGCTGTTCTGCAGAAGCAGTCTGTCTAGAGGCAGGCTGCAAAATGCATTTGGGACAGACTTTGTCCTTCCTACCTACCTGAATGAATGCAAGGATGGCCGTGGTGTCTTTCAGAGGACACGCTAGCTTGGACTTACTGGATAAATATGCATAGATTAGCTGATGGCAAGAGCCATCATTCCAGCCCAATTCCTCTTAAGCCCAGGATCAGACACAGATATTTTGTTTTCTATCACGTGATTGAGTTGGAAAATACAATGCAAGCCCTTCAGAAAGAGAGATCTTGTCTGGAGCACAGTTTTGCCTTTCAGTCCTAGGGAACCTAGTTCACATACACACACACCTACACACACACACACACAGAGAGACACGTGCACAGATGAATGAGAAGAAGTTGATGAAGAGCCTTAAATAATACAACCTTGTGTTGATCCTGTGTTCCACTAGAGAGATGCTCTCTGTTCTGAACAGGCATGGTGGTGTCTTGGAGAGTCTTGCTGCTCTTTGGGGCTAGAAGTTCCAAGTCCTGAATTCTCCTTTTTGACTCTCAGGAAATACATTCCATCTTCCTTGATAGTAAGGAATTAGAGAAGGTAGTTCCTTATCCAGCTGCAGAGCTGTGCTCAGGAACTGCACTTGGAGGGAGGTCTCGGAGGCGTCCAAAAGCCCCAAGCCCTGTGCTTAGAACTTGGGGCACATCCATAGTGTACCACAGAAAGGGGTATTCATTTTTAAACCCATTCAATAATTTCAAGTCTAAAGATTGTTCTTCAAAGTTGCAAAAGCCAAACTGAAGAAGTGAGGATGTGCTGGGATTGTAACTTTACCTTGAGTCACTTTGCAGTTCTTTTTTGACAGCATTTTCCCCATCATGTTTGTATGTGTTTACTCTGGCACACAATTGAATTGGCAGCCGTCTCTTCACAGGAGCAAAATTACTTTTGGCTTCCAAAGCGTGTGTAAATGATAATAGTAGTGCTAAACAAAGTCTGTTTGAGAAGCCTGCGGGTGCAGAGGGTGGTGTTAGCGCTTTGTGGTTGATGGTTTAGAGTCCCTTTTTTCCGAGGTGACAAGGCATCCAGGCCCATGAGTGCCAGAGAAAGAGGCTCTGGTCATGTCTGTCCCTAAGAGCTTTTGATGTCATTGTAGGTGGCTGTAAAGGAACTTTATCTCCAGCACCAGGGCTGTGAGGGAATATTAAAAGAAATCCTGCTCATGAGAGAAAATAAGAACGCCAATATTGTCAGCTACTTAGAAAGGTAAGTAGTTCTGGTGATTTTCTGGGAATGTTCATTTCCATACTTGCAAGGCAAAGATTTAAAAGCTCTTTAGCCACTGGCAGAAAATGGATCTTTCAATGAACATCAATCCACTCCTGCACCAGGCATGGGAGGAGTTTGCATTCTGTCCCCATCAATGCTTCCTGACATAAACAGCTTGAAGATTGATCTCAGAAACCTGGCTCTCTTACTAAGCCAGCAGCCTGTATGTTCACTTGCTGCATGTGGTTTTGCTGGTTTGGGGCATGATTTTTTCCAAGTGTTGGAGGAGAAAACATGCCAGAGATGATTTCCCTTGTGCTGTTCCCACTATTTTCCATAGCCTTGCATGCCAAAAGACTAGGCTAGGAGACACATAATTTGCCAGGTCTGAAATTGTTTTCCTGTTTGTGACTGTCCTTTCTGCAAGGTTTTCCAAAGGGTGTTGGCAGTGCTGCACACCCACTTGCCTTTAGTAAAAGCTGTGAAAACTGTGTCTCCTTGCTGCTGGAGGGAATGGTGCAATTTGTGTCTGAAGATGATGAAGCAGCTGCTGGGATGTGTCCACTTCCAGATTTCTCTTTTTCCTCACTAAACCTCCTTTTTCCCCTGCTTGCCACCTAAGCCGTCTCCTTTTCCATGGATGTGCCTTCCTCCTTTAGGTGGCACAGATGGCAGGCACTGGCTAGCCTAGGTGGAGTGTGTCTTCATTTGATTCCATCTTCATTTACCAGTGACCTGGAAACAAAACTCAGCTGTAGTCTTTTCTTCCCCACAGCAATTTAGCTGTGCACGTTCAGCTCCACGCTGTTGCTTTCCTCTTGCAGCTACCTTGTGGATGAGGCTGTCCTGCTGGTGTTGGAATATATGGATGGAGGCTCCTTAGCTGATGTGGTCACCGTGAGAAGGATGGCTGTAGGACACATAGCAACAGTGTGTCGGGAGGTAAGGGGTCCTGCTTGTGCTTGGCATGGCTTGGACAAGGCTAGTCCTTTGAAAGCACTGCAAAGTGAGTGATTCCATGTTCAGAGCTTTCTTTCTGTGTTGCTCTTCTGCTTCAGAGAAGAAAGAGCATCTGGACTGAACTGCCTGCCAGTGTCCCTGCCCTTCCTGTACTCTGTTCTTCACTCTTATCCACCATCATTGAACTCTCTGTCTCTTTTTCCTTTTTATTTTCTGTTCTGCACTTTGCCTCCCCAAGCCTTTGCCCAGAGCCTTTCTGCACTGCCTTCTTTGCCTGTAAGTGCAAAGGTGCTGCTGTGAGAGTTTTAAACCAGAGGCCAAGCCAAAGAGAGACTCATCTGTCACAGGTCTCCACTCCAAAGGATGGCACGGCACCCAGCATGGTGCTTGCTGCTGCAAACTGACAAAAGAGCTACTTCCAAGTCTGCTGTTGAGGCAGCCATAGAACCCTTGTCCTCCAGTCTCCCGCCCGACAGTGATCCCCTTGGTATCCAAGGCAGGGACGTTTTCCTCTTTTGGCAAACCATTGTTTGTCGTCCGGACGGGGAGAGCGCATCCGCTGCAGCAGCGCTCATTCTGACTGCCTTTGCAGGGGACAGTGTGGAGCAACAACGACTGACTTTTCCCCCTCAAAAGCTAACGTGCCTTCCCTTGGAAAGATCCTGCTCTCCCGGTGTTGCAGCAGCAAGCTCTTCCTCCGGCCAGCGCTCACTGCTCCTTGGAGATCTGTGCATCTTCAGCAGCAGCCTTCTTTTGCGTGTGATGAAATCAGACCAGGCTAACTTTTGGCCTCCTGTTTCTTTTTCCCCTGGCAGTGCCTGCAAGGCCTGGCTTTCCTTCATGCCAACCAGGTGATCCATAGAGATATCAAAAGTGACAACATCCTTCTGGGCCGGGATGGCTCCGTCAAGTTGGGTGGGTATTCCTGGTCAGGCGCAGCGCTGCGGGGAGGCGGTGTGGGGCTGCTTTGGAGAGGCTGCCCGGTGCCCAGCAGCGGTGCTGGGGAGAGGGCAGGGAGCACTCTGCCAGCCCAGGGCACAGCTGTAAGGTGCTGAGTGGTCTAGAGAGCAACAAGGTATCCAGGGTAACTTTGGTTTGTGGGTGTTCCTTGCAAAGGGAGTGAGCTACAGTGTAAACTGTGTTGAGGGGAATGAGGAAAAGTCAGGGAAGGTCACCTAGTGCAAAACCCCAGCCAGCGGCAAGGACAACTTCAAGTAGATCGGGTTGCTCAGCGTCCCATGCAAGCGGACCTTGAATGTTGCCAGGCTTGGGGCTCCTGCCAGCTCTCTGGGCAGCCTGGGCCAGTGTTGCAGCATGCTCCTAGTAAACAGTTTCTTCCTTAGAGCCAATCTGAATTCAGAGTTTTGAGCTGAAAACTGTTCCCCCCTTGTCCTCTTGCAATCAGCCCTGCTAAAGGATATGTTCCCATCTTTCTTAGAAGCCCCTACAACTACGGAGAATTCTCCTTGCAGCTTGCTCTTCTCCAGGCTAAACAAGCACAATTCTCTGAGCCGTTCCGCAGAGGAGAGCTCCCACCCTGTGCTCATTTCTGTGGCCTTCGTTTGCTCTTGGGTGGTGTATTCAGGTTTTCCTGGTAGCAAAGGCACTGAAATATTGCAATGCCAGGGACAGGGCCTTGAGGAACACATTGAAAGCAGTCCCTGCCAAGCGGTTTTAGACTGGTCTGAGGGAAGACGGGGGCTGTTGAGGAGCTCAGTGTGAGCATCCGAGGGCACCGGCTTGTCCCTCCTGGCCCACTCTTAGAGGTTTCTGCCAGCCAAACGGGCACAGCTGTGCAGGATTTTTGCCAGCCCCATGTGCTGCCTGGCCCCGTCAAGTAGATGAGAATGGCTGTGGCTTTGCTGCCAGGTTTGGTGGCAGACAAGGAGCTGGTGACCAGGCCACTTCCTTGGCTGTGCCTGCTGTGAAGGAAGATGCCAGCCAGCACAGGAGGGGGTGGGGTGTGCTGAGGCAGACACTGCTCTTCCTGCAAGCCAGAGCTGAGCACATCTGCACCCTGCTGCTTGTGTCCTTGCTCCTGGCTTGCTGCTGAAAACCTGCATCTCCAGCGCTCCTGAGAACAACTTGGGATCCATATTTTTCAGAGCTCTTGGGAGTCTCTTGAGGAATGCCTTATGCCTCACTTCTCTCTTCTTCACTCACATAGCCCATGTCTGTAGAAAAGAGGTGCTTGGATAAGTCTGTTGACTTTCCTAAAAGGAACAAATCCTTAGGACAGCGAGAAGCAATCGCACAGTGGTAGCAGGACAAAAATCCCAGCAAGTGACAGCACCATGAGGAATGGACTAGTGCAGTTCCGGGCTGTGTTTGCCTGTGATGGCAGCATGCTGCACATGAAGGCAGATGTGCTGCTGGTGCTCTTCAGTCCAATGTCTGTTTATTTCTGGGCACTAGAGGGATCCAACTTGACCCTGTTAGGAACTCAGTTTGGAAAATAACGCTTCCTTTTTCCTTTGTCTCTTTTAATTAGATTTGTTTGTCTGTAGAAAAGAGGTGCTTGAATAAGTCTGTTGACTTTCCTGAAAGGAACAAATCCTTAGGACAGCGAGAAGCAATCGCACAGTGGTACCAGGACAAAAATCCCAGCAAGTGACAGCACCATGAGGAATGGACTAGTGCAGTTCTGGGCTGTGTTTGCCTGTGATGGCAGCATGCTGCACATGAAGGCAGATGTGCTGCTGGTGCTCTTCAGTCCAATGTCTGTTTATTTCTGGGCACTAGAGGGATCCAACTTGACCCTGTTAGGAACTCAGTTTGGAAAATAACGCTTCCTTTTTCCTTTGTCTCTTTTAATTAGATTTGTTTTGTTTCTTTTTCCCCTTGGGCAGCATCGGTTTCTGCAATCAGCGGAGCCTCTCTTAAGCCTCTTCTGACAGCCTTGATTGCTGTCCTCCCTGCAGCCAGGTAATGCAGGAAGCAAAAGAGATGAGAAGGACCACCTGAGCACATGGAGAACAGAGCCTCTGAGAGCAGGTAGAAATCCTGAGGAGAGAGGGGCCAGGCAACAGGCAGCCATCAGAGCAGGAAAGGAAGGTGGCATCCCCTTTTCTGCCACCTGCTGATCCTCCTTCTGCATTTCTGCTTAGGACAGCATTGCTGGAGGCCACAGAGTCACTACTGATGTGCATTTTTCAGGTGGGAGGTGCTGCGAGGCATGAAGCTTCCACTAATTATTTGGGGGAGATGGCTGGGACTTCATTGGAAGTGTCTTCCTCCCCTCACCAGGAGCTGGAAGGGCAGCGTTTGGAGGCACAGCAGCTGCTGGCACAAGGGGCAAACTTCCTGGACGAGGTAGAGAAGAAGCAGGAGGAAAGGCTGCTTGAGATGAAGCAGGAAGTTGCCACCATGCAAGCTGAATGAGAAGAGGTACGAAGCAGAGCCAGCTAAAAGGCAAAGGCTTTGAAAAGAGAGTTTCTGTGTTGCTTTGGACTGCTCTGCGCTCCTTATGGGCACTGTTTCTCGGAACACTGTCTGTCTGGGCGGCATTGGCTCTTAGCCGGCCCGTGGTAAACAGTGCTGGAGAGAGCTTTGTGCCAGGAGGGAAAGGACCGGTCAGGTGTGAGGCTACCGGAGCGCAGGTTTGAGGAAGGTGGGAATGGCGTTGCTGACGCAAAGAGAATGGGAAAGGCAGAGCTTTGTCACAGAAGGAGGGAGGTCCCATAGGAAGCCCCCTGCAGAGCCAGGCTAGAGCTGTGGCAGCGGGCTGGCTGTCAGGCAGCTGAGGAGGTGCCTGAAGCTGCTGAGTACATCCTGTGCATTCTTTGTGTGATCGAGCTGTGTATGGTGGGCGTGCCTCAGCATGAGCTGGAGCACATGTTCCACGTCCGTTTGGTATTGGGAGAGACATTTTGGATTCCCTAGAGAATCCATTGTGGACCTTGAATGCAGCCAGGGAGCACTTGGGTGTTCCTTTTGCTTTTGAGGGCAGCTGAGAGTGGGTGGGTTTTGCCTGAGCTTCCCTGTGCAGTAAAGACAAGAGCAGGGATTGTTTCACATGCAGCAGAAGGCTGTAACCCAGCCAGTGACCCCGTTGAAGGTGTGTGTGCTAGTCCAGCCAAAGTGATGAGAACACTTGGCTTCCTAGATTCCCTTTAGACTCCAGACTTGTGGCCAGTCATTGGAGACAAAATACTTCCGAGAAATTGATTGGCTGTGCGGCTGGTTTAATGCTGCTGTTGTATCTTTCACTCTTTGTACTTCTATTCTTCCATCCACAGATTCCATGGGCCCCCGCCATCTAAATCCCCACTCGAAGGGCTTTTCAAACGTAAACAAAGGAAATGTGCAGTGAAGTAATGCAGGAAGCAGAAGACATGACCAGGATCACTTCAGGATTACACTCCGCAATGGCAGCTTGGAGTTGCACTCACAATAAAAGTCCTATACGCCCTCAAGCCTGCTGGAAGATTCCCTTCCTCGTCAGCCAGGGAATAAGGCTCTAGATTCCCTTCTGAATTGGCCATTCCTTCTTAAAGATGGAAAGTCCCTCCTAAGGGCCTTCTGCTGGGGTCTGGAATTGAGAACGCTCTCCTTCCTTCTTCAGCTCCAACCTACACTGCCTTTGGAATGCTGCCCATTGGCCAGTTTTTGCCCAACCCTGGACTTGTGGATGAGGAACAAAGTGCAATTCCAGCCAAAAAGTGCATTTCCAGCCAATACCCAGTGAAGAGCAGGGCAGCCTAAGCATCCTGTGCAGATATGGGCTTTCAGCTGTGCACATAGAAGCTTTTGTTTCCTGCTCGGTGTAGCCGGCACGTCTCCTCTGTGACTGCTCCCTCCTCCCAGGTGGCCGTGGCTAATAGGTACGAGGCTCGGCAAGTGGAACCAAGAAGGTGGGCACGTCTGCTGGCAGTACAGGAGAGCAGAGAGGAAAGCGGCGGGCAGGACCCTGGCCAGCTAGGCAAAGCACCCACTGCACCTGCTCTCTGTCAACAGAAAAGGACTGGTGCGTGACAGCACGCTTGGGGTTGTCTGGGACTCAGCTGTCATGAAAAGTCTCTGTGCTTGAGTGGCTTTGTCCTTACTTCTGTGCCTTCTGTTGTCCCTGTGCTCCGCAGTGTCCGCCCAGGGCTGTGCAGCTGTGTGGCACAGCTAAAATGCAGGAGAGCCTCGTTTGTCTGCCCTTTGAGGTGGCTGCTCACAGCAACCTTTTCAATCTGCAAGCTCCATCTGGAGAGTGACTTCCCCCTGCGTTTGGTCCCGGAGGCCAGGGCCTGTCATCTGCAGTCCCAGCTGGCATTGAGGGCTGCCCGGTGCCTCAGGCTGCTGTCACCCCAGCACAAACAACGGCAGACAGTGGCAGGCGGGTGTTTCCAAAGTCACGTTCTTCAGGGACAATGTGCCGTGTGTGTGTCCTTTGTCCAGCCCAGACTCAGACCTAGGCATCAGATGCAGGCACTGCTGCTGCTGCCACTGAAGTCAGCGAGGATTTGGTGCTTGCTTTCCATCCCAGCCAAACTGGTCACCTATAAGGCCAGGTGCTGATAGCGCCCTGCACATCTCTGGGCTGCAGGGCTCTGAGGGAGCTGTCCCTTGTTATTCTCCATCCGCGAAAGCCGTGCCGGCCACGTGTGCATCAACAGAGCAAACAGGGAGTGTGCGAGTCTCTTCCATCTCCATCTGCAGAGACTAGTGGCCTTTGAGTTTAGGTGGCACAAAGTCAGTTGCTTGTGGTCCCTCTCTGTATCTCCGTGTTAGATAGTGCTGCTAAATCTGCCTGTAAGCAAAGCAGCAGGGGAAAAAGCCTCTCATCTCTGCAGGCCGATAAGCTGCCATTGATGCACAGAAAACACTGCACTTTGTCTTTATGAGGAAGAGATGAACTGGTTTAGCAGCGAGAGAAGGTGGGATGATTCTTCTGATCGTTCCTTCTGTCTCATACAGGCAGCTCTCTGTAGCTCAGAGGTGTGTCTCAAACTGGCAGCAAAGGCGGCAATCCCTGGAGCCATAATCAGGTTGGGCCATGGGTTGCCGGGGCCCACCAGGAGCGGAGCCCTGCGTGGGCTCACCTGCAAAGTGTTGGGTGGACTGTGTCTTGGAGGTAGATGCCAGAGACAAAGTCCATCAGTTTTGCCTGTCCCATGGCCAGGTGTTCTCTGGTTTGACCTCCTGGTGCAGGACCCCACAGCTGCTGCAGTGTTGCAAGGCCTCCAGCACCTGGAGGAACAGCCCCTGCACCGCCTTCTCCCACATGGCACCCCCATGCCAGAACGAAATCAAAGAGGTCCTGCGAGCGCTCAGGGCACTCCAGCACCAATAAGAAGTTGTTAGGGAGCTCCTACCAATCCAAGAGCTGAACAACACCATGGAACCCACTGGACACCTTGCGCAGCAGCTCCATCTCCCTGGGTACGCGGATTCCTTCGGGCTGCAAGAAGACCACAATGGCATCAGTGGGGCTGATGTCATGCCAGGGGTCTGGAAGCTCTCACCCAGCCAAGGATGATCTGAGCCCTCCACTGAGCACACGCCCGCTCTCCCTCCAGGCGTCCTGGAGCTTTCCACTCTGCCCGGCCTTGGCTTAGCCCGCCCGTCACGTGCCGGTTTCTGCCGCTGGCCCCGGTCAATCTCCAGCTCGTCCTAATGAGGGATGCCGTCCCATGACACACTTCTGAAGGCCACCTGCGAGTGAAGGGGTGCAGCATCCTGAGCTCAGATCCCACTCTGCCAAGCCCCATCCTCCTATTCCTCCGCACTCCCCCTGCACCGCCCTATCTCTGCCCCTCCACCCACTGGGGCGCCATCTGTGGGGCACATCCCTGAGTAGACGGTGCCGAAGCCACCGCGCAGCAGCAGGGATCCCAGCGGAATCGCTCTTGCAGGGCCTCCTGCGCTTTCCCTGCAGCCGAGACGCAGCTGTCCGTGTTGGACCAGGGCCGGGAACGGTCCCCGACCTCCCCCCTACGGCCCGCAAGGGACCCAGGCCGGGCATCCCCATCTGAACGGGGCACCGGCGGCTCGGGGCGGGCGGCCGCTCTGTTTAACAGCAGAGCTCGGGCCGGGAAAAGTGCTGCCCACTCCTCTATGGACTCACTTCATCATTTGAGCTATGCTGCTCCAGTCTACACACCATGAAACAAAAAGGGAAAAAGCACCACTTGCAAGAATGCCCAGTGCATGCAGTGAAACGAGGACAAAAATGCACCCTTGCACATGCCCCAGACCATGCAACTACAATGGAAAAATAAGGATGCTTGCACAATTTTGGAGAGTGTACAGCAAAACAGGGAAGGAAAAAAGAAACACCTGCACAAATCCACAGACTGTACAAGAGAAAGGAAGAAAAAGTGACACCTCCATGTGTCTGCAGAGTCTACAACCACAGGAAAAAAGAACACACCCTGCTGGGCAAGAGACACCCCATTTTTTGCTCAGGCTCTTGGCAGGAGCTTTACCAAACATATGGCATCTTTATGCCATTTTTGTTTCAATATGCTGCCCCAGCAAAAATACTTCTACTTACCCATTGGACCATTAAAAACTTTGTGGGATGACACCAGCAAGAAAGGCCTGCCAACTGCTCTACAGATTCACTCCATCATTTCGTCAGTGCTGCTCCAGTCTGCAGGCCAGGAAACAAAAATGCAACAAGAACCCACTTGCACAAGTCCCCAGACTCTGCAAGGAAAAGAGGAAAAAGGGGACGCCCGCAGCAATCGGCCAACTGTATAGGAAGAAGGCAAAAGGAAAAGACACCTGCACATACCTGCAAACCCTACAATGGCAGGGGTGATAAAAAAGGATGCCTGCATTTGTCCACAGACTTTACAACATCAGGCGACAAAAAGGACTCCTTTGAAAGGGCGCACGCTGCCCCAAAACAGCGCAAAACCCGCTTGCAGTGCATAACCCGTAGCTGAAAGGATCCAAGAGTAACGCAGAACGGGCACAAAGTTCACACACCCGGTACGTTGGCCACCAATGCTTCTGACTAAAACTAGTTCCCTGAATTGGAATGCCTGTCACTCCCGCCCATTTCCTGCAGGGCTAACATCAACCAGCACATTGCAGGATTCACAGAAGGAAGAATGATTTTGTAGTGGGGAAATCATGGCAACTAACAAACCACCCATGTGTGTTTGCATGACACTGGAGCAGTGTTGGTGTTGTCAATATGGCAGGGACATGTCCTCTGCACGGGGCAGTGCCCATGTCCTGTGCGTGGCAGGGGGGTGCCCTTGGAGCAGCCCTCAGAGTGTGGGTGCAGCCATATTTTTTATGGCAGGGGTTTTCAGGGTATCTTCGACCCCAGCTGCTGTAGGTGTGCGTATAACAAAGTCTTATTGAGCACAACGTGTCCGTGTCTCTCAGGCAGGCTGCCAGCCACAGGCAATGTTAGCCCACAGCTCAGATTTTAAGTG